AAAGCAAATATGACGTTCAGCTTCAGCCTGCGAAATATTTGCACATATTGCAATCACAAAAAAATTACACTGAATCTAGGAAATTCACCAAGAGTAACTTGCATTAATATTCAGCAAGTATTTTGATAAAAGACAAGTTGTATATATCTAAAAAAAAAAGAGTTTTCCTTTTCTTAATGCCACGGGGTTTTTCCAAAATGTAGAATAAATACTATTTTTTTGACTATTATTAGCATTTGCAAACCATTTAAGACAGTTTAAAAAATTCATATGATGTAATATAGCACTCGACAGAAAGATTTATTACTATTTTCTTAGTTTCAGATACGAATCTTTTATATGAATCAGGCATTCCATTTTAAGTTTTTGGAAATATTTGCTATCATTAAGAAATATATTTCTGAAAAATAGAAAGAAACCCTTTCTAGTTTTCTAATCTTATAAATATTTCTTTATATTTTTATGTTTTAATTTCGATATTAACTTTTATTTTTAATTTAATTTAATATATTTTTTTTTTACTTCTTGTGTTGTAAATAAAGAGAAAATAATAACTAAATAATTTCATTGTACGACAATTTTTAAAATATGGTGCTATTTTGTTTTCTGAGTGTATGAAATATGAAATAGAAATTGTAAGTGTGCTTCCGTATCTCATTTCACACCCAGCCAATCTGCATAATTGTGCGGGAAATATTATATAGTAAATGCTTCAGCTACGGCCTTGCAATGCATTTGCTGGGAGAGATTTCATGATGTCCTTTCAAGGACAAACGGCAGTACGTGCCGCCGGCTGTGGCAACATTTGATGAGCCAGCTAATTAACATGTAAATACTGTCACAATTCTATGCATTGCCAGTATTATTTGTGTATTATGAGTGTGTGCATTATGATTTCCAGTTTTCATATCGCAGGACATCTGTCACATTGTATAAACCTTCCTTCCTTTTGCTGAATGTGATGAACTGCAATTGTTTTGAGTGCTTGTGCAATGATGTGTACTATTTTATATATACAAGGAAAAACAACACAACAAATTAGAAATAAATTAAGTATGTATACATATATCACAATAATCAGCAGTTGTACTGTTTTCCGTATAAATATTTTATGTAATACATATGTCCATATATATATATGGAAAACATAAATATTAAATAAAATACTAATTTCTAACTAGACGATATATAAATATTAAATGGAATATATGTGGATCTCATATGGCATCATTAAAATGAAAATATATATATTAAATAAACTAGATGCATAAGGTATTAAACATATTTATATCATTTACAATAAATTATAAATACACATATATATATATATTTTTTGTATTATTAATTAAATATAAAACACAATTATAATAAGAAAAAAAGTACACATGCAGTATATATGCAAGTGTAGAAAACATATAAAAAAAGTGCTTTTTACTGAAGAAATATTTTATTACGAGATAAATATAAAGTAAATAAATAATATAATATATATGATCTTTTGAGATGCATACAATTTTAATTTAATAATTATTATATATTTTTATTTACTTATTTATCGTAGCTATAATACAAATGTAATTGTATACAATCAATATTGCAATAAATAATACAAGTAAAAGCAATTCTTTTTTATACCCTAAAAATACCTCTAAAAAGGCTAAAATGGTTTTGAGAGCAATCAATTCGCTTTGTTTTAATTATTCTGCGTCAATTAATTGGGAAACTATTTATTGTTCTATATTTGAGTGAGTTCATTTTTTTTTATAGGAAAATATATATATAGAGAAGAAATTACTTCATTAAAACAGTATGAATCGTTTCACAGCCAACAGCAGTAGATTGATCGAAGGATGTATTTTGAACTAGTAATATTTCTGTTCCTGTTCATAACAGGAATAGCTGTTGAATATACTCTAGTTTTATTGTTAAACTCTTCTCGAAAATTTACTCACTCAAATTTAAGAAAATTAATAGTATACCCTTTTTACCAATTTTCAAAACGCATGGCTTTGTACATTTTTCAGTTTAATTGACGTTAGTCAAGTAACAGTAAAAAAAAGTTAGATGAAAGTTATTCTATAAATTTGTTTAACTTGCACATACACATTTTGTGAACATCAGATTGCCAAATATGAACAAAGAAAAAACATAGCGAAATGCTTTAAAATCCAGAAACAAGAAATACACAAAAAGGAGGGAAACTTGGACACAAGCAGCACATAGCCAATATTATTGGCCATATGTTGCAGCTGCCGGCCATGAAAAGAGCCAGCATTCAATTGTTGGTCAGCCTGCGGCCAAATTGCGAATGCTTTTCGATATTTGCGTGTGCGAGGTGTGTAAATTCTGGAAGCACACTCAACACACACGCTAACACACAAATATTTCTCAGCAATATATAAATGTGCTAACAAATTTACACTCAGAAAATAGATCGCTCTAAATTTGAGTAATTTGCGTTACTTTTTACGTCATTGGCTACTCACCAAACTTAATTCAAATAGAACATTTTTAAAATTTACTGTTGTGGCTTTCTAAAAAATTGTTGCTTGCATTTTCAATTTTATTCTGGTTCTTTCTAAAATATTGAAAAAATATATCTAATTTTCAGTATATGGTTTTCCATGTGTGCTCAATAGAAGAATTCTGATATCAGCGTTTTTTACTTATATTATTAATTAATTAATTTTATTTTAAAATTTCGCATATATAAATATTCTACACTGCTTATAAATTCAAATAAATTAATTGGAAATTACGTAGAACGTCGTTTTTCTGGGTGTATAGATGTGCTAACAAACTTAGACAAACAGACGCCTGGCATACTTAATTCTTGCAAGTTATTTGAGAGCATGTCTGACTGTTGGCCAAAACATTTTGGTTAGCCACACGCCATGTTGGCCAACAGAGCAGCTTCAGTTCAGCGCACTTGACTGTTTAATTGCCATGGCCCCGTAGAGTGAAAGTTTAACTATGGCCATGGGACTGCCAATGGCAATGCCAATGGCAGTTCATGTGTGTGTGTGTGGGTGTGAATGTGTGTGCGAGTATGCCAGCGAGTGTTAGTCTGTCTATCTGTCTGTGTATCTGTACATACGCATTGAAATCGCCAAATGGCTAATACTGCTCACGGCCTTTGGTAAGCTCTGGTTTTGTAGCTGCCAATTTTTTTTTGCTCCTGTGGAAATCCTTTAATCTGTCCTTGCCATACACGCATTGGGACTAACGCACTCGCACACACACTGAGAAAACATTCAACCTGAATTTTAGAAAGATTGTCTTTATTTTAGAAATGATTTCGAAGTATAAGAAAATTAATTTTGAAAAATAATATCTAACAATAATACTAATTAAATAAGAACAACAGTAATAATAATAATAATGATAATATTAATAAGAATTTCTATTAATACTTCTTAAATATACAAAAAAATGCTAAAAGTTAGAAAGGCTTGCCCTTGATCGACCATCTCAAACATTTTATGTGTTCTTATTTACTTTATTTGTAAGAAATATTTTCTATTCTATATATAGAGTTTAGTTCGAGTCGCCTTAAAACCATAATTTTTTTTTCTAATTAAATTATATGAGTATTTATAAACTGCGAAAAAAGTTTGTGGAAGTGAAATTTTAAATTATTATTTATTATTTATTTAGTTAGATATATATTTTCTGACGAATGAGATGAGTTATCCTTTGCGAATTTTTTTGAAGTGCACACACACACACATCTACTCACAAACACCTACACACACACACACACCTACAAACAGACACACTTTAACTGAGCAATTGAATTGTTTCAATTGCTATTTGGCCTGGGTTCAGTTTCAGTTTTCAAAGACCGTCATTTTGGCTTGGCTTGGCTATCCACAACATTCTTAATGAAAGTCAATGTGTTAAGGGGGAAATGTAAGAATTCCTTTTGTTCTTACCCTTCCCTGCTGTCGAACATTGTAGTTGTGGTTGTGGTTGTCAGTTGGGTTGTTTGCTCGGTCAGTTAATTGGCATTGCACTAATATTGCAATGCCAGATTTGCTTGTAATTCTCTTGCATTGCAAATTGTGGCTTACATCGACTATTTAGCTGACAATTGCATAACTACAACAATCACAACTAGCTGATAAAGATGCATAACCAGCAGAGAAATAAACATTTCCATATAAGCATCACAACTGGATTTTCTTTAATGAACAAGCAGTATGAAAAGCGCATGAAATTTAACTGAAAATATTGAAATTCAATTAAATTAAGCTAATCAATTAAAAGAAATATTTAAATGTAAGCATTGAGTGACGGAAATATTATATTACATAAAATTATGTTAAAGGGCATAAATGCTTTAATTAGAGTGTAATTAGAGTGCTGAAATGAAAAGCCTTAATGTCTCGCTTAGTTTTTCAAAGAATAACTTATAGTTAGTGAACTATTATTTCACCTAAAGCTCAGTGCAAGAAAATTGATGCAAAACACTATTAACTACTACATTAAGGCTTTAAGATGATGGTCATGCTTAATGCTTATGTATAGTGTTGAAATAAAAAGCTGTAATATATCCCTCAATTTCCTACATATTTGCAGCAATGAGCATTCATTTGCTCAGGTATTTGGGCCATAAATAAATGTCTAGCTAAGCACACTTAAGTATCTTTATGACATGCCCTCTGATATGTGATCTGCAAACAATTTGTGGGTATATGTAAGGACTTGGGTTAATTTACTAGTGATTTCAGCTCGAACCCTTGCCTATTTAGTTGCATTTGTTTGCTGATGGCCTAAGAAAACATTCACATGGATATGTGAGCTGCTTTTACGCTGTGTATCTTTAATTAAGCTAATGTCAATGCAAACATTACCTCAGGTGAACAAACAGCAGTTTAGCTGCCAGTCTCATTAAATTCAATTTACCAGCTAAAGCCAATTGTTGGTAAGCGATATGCCGAGATGTGCCTATAAATAAGAGTGCACTACTGCTACGCACTAGTCTGAGGCGCTTCACGATGTTGCTGCCACAGCAGTTTACGCACTTGACCAGGCTAATCCACATAATAGGTAAGCCTCGTGGCATTATTTGTTGCATAATCCACTTCGAGTACTCTGTAATGATTACAAATAGACTTTATCACGTAATTAATGCCGAGTCCCTTGTTAATATAATTAAGAGCTCAATTTTAGTTTTATCTTGCGAATAATAGTTTTCTTTGCATTCATACTAACTTTTTTGTCTGTTGTTTTTTTTTATAACTTTTAAGAAATTCTTATTTACCATTTAATTAAAATGAAGTATTAAATTTGATTTTTATTTTATACTTAATATAGAGTAATTTAATTTATTCTTATAAATTGTTTTCATTTTTTTAGTTTAATTTTAATATTACATTTTATTTTTAATTCAATTGATTTTTCCATTTTTTTTTTTTTTTTTTTTGTAGATATTACATGTGTGACATTAGTTGACATTAAATAAATAAAAAAAATGTTTCACTTTCTATTTAATTTCCTGTAATCTCGCAACAGTAAGTCAATATTTTGCGCCACTCTCCTCGCTGCTGATTGTTCACAATAGCACCCAGGAGACGACTACGCTGCAACTTGCCTATCTGGAGGCTGTACAACTGGCTCTGCGTAATCTCAGCCAACCTATCTTGCTACAGTGGATCAATGTGGCCAAGTTGCCCCAAGATGCAACCCAGCCGAATTCGCTGGAATGGCAAGTCTTAGCTGCCGTTAACTCCAGCGTGACTGAGGTGTGTTATCCTAAATGAATTTTTATCTCATTGTTATATCATTATAGCCACTTTTTTTATTTGGGCAGGGTTTTATCACGATATTGCCGCAGACAGCTCAGTTTCTTCATGCTCGCTATTTTGCCACACGCAATGCCAACGTGAGGCTAAAAGATAAACTCTACTTGTTTCTGTGTGAACATGAAGATCCTAGGGTATTGCTCAGCCTAGAAATATTGCAATGTGAGTATAAAATACAGCTAAAATGCATTATTTCCTATGTGAATTGATTGGGGTCAAATAACATCAAATATACATTAAATCACGCTTATTATTTTAAGTGAGTCCCAGTTTTGAGCTTGCGAAAATTTTTGAAAAATATTTGTAAAAAATATAAAAAAGTCTTTCTAATTTTCCTTCTATTCTTCTAAAATGTTCTAGCATATATAAAAAGCCTTTATGAATTTTAGAAATTTATTTCTTATATTTTTTGAAAATATTTCCAAATAGAAAATATTTTTAAAATAGTTGAAAAGCAAAACCTAACTAGAATCGTTATGTCATTTGTATAATAATAATAATTGCTTAAGATGGTAGTTAGTTTTACATATTATTCGCACTAATCCTTTTGATGTTTACTCAGCTTAATACTTGAGCACTTAATGTTTGCCAACACAATTGGCATTAGTTTTTATTTAGTCGACAATAGTCGTTGTTGACTAGAGTGAATCTCCAGGGGCACTAATGAAAGTCAAGTCAAACTCAACAAAAACTTTGCCACACACTCGGAGGGACAAAAAACAGCCGCGGGGCACATCAGTTGATCAAACTTTCAACTTTGGCGACACTGGCCAATAATTTCCACGCTTGACGGTCTGTTCTTCAATTGTAAAGTTTTTTTTCTTATACTCTGGTACAGACGTCACAAAAGAGTATATTAGTTTTGTGCAATGTCCGTAATGCTGTCTGTCCGACTGAAATCTTAGCCTTCAGACTTGAAACAAATAAGTGTGCGCACCTGCGTCAGACTATGTTTTAAAATTTCGTGTGTACATATGTCCACTATTTAAGAACTAAAGATCGCCTGCATTTTAGGAACTAAAGTTACCAAACGTGGAATGAAAATCGATCTAATGCAGGGAGCGATTTTTTTTCCATTTTCTTTTTAGAAATAATTGCAAAATATTATGATCAAAAATGTCTACCATTTAGAAAGGATTTATTTGAAGCGAGAATCGAGAGAAATATATAGTTTTTTTTTAAGAAATCGTATTTCTAATTTATAGAAATCATTTCTATTTCTCATCATAGTTGATGAGTGTAGGAAACTCATTTTCTGTTCTGTGGCACCTGTTACTGGCTGGTATTAAACTGTTATTAGAGTATCTGGCGGTCGGTTACGCCCGACTGAAATGTCTGACTCACTTTTGGTTTTTTTGGCTGTTGTTCTTGGCTTGGAACTTAATTTGTTTTTTGTTGTTGGCGGTATTTCTGGCTTGTTCGATGTGCTGTAATGCGGACTTAGTCTACCCACACCATCTGATGTTGCGGCCAGGAGAGCCGGCAAACAAAGGATATGCCAGAAGTGGCAAAGCAATTCGAACTGGTGTTGAGGTTGGAGTTGGAGTTGGAGTTGGAGTAGTTGAGGCAACAGCTAGCTTGCCACACCCACACCGCGACATCAATTTGGGGCTGTGGACACAAAAGTTTGTCGGTGCCAGTGGAAATTTGGATGCTCAGCTCTTGGACGCATTCTTGCCGAACGAAACTTTTGTCAACCAGCCGCATGCCCAATCCCAACACCAACTTTATCCCAACAAGCTGCTCAATCTTCAGAGGCGCACACTGCGCCTAGGCTCCATTACTTATGTGCCATACACAGTTACTAATTATGTGGTAAGTAATTGCCGGTTAAGTTTATATTTATCGCTGATGCTGTTTATTCTGTCTCATATTGTTGTTGCTGTTGTTGTTTTTATACCCTGCACCCACTGAAAATGCGTAAAAGGGGGTATAATGGCTTTTTGCTCAAGTATGTAACAGATAGAAGGAAGCATCTGTGACACTATAAAGTATATACACTTGCGAAAAACATATTGGCCACATTAATAATAACCACTAAGAGATTCTTTCTAACGATTAAGAAGAACAAACCATTACTTTTACTATACTTTCAAATTTTGATTTTTAATAAACGGGGAATATCCTTATAATTTAAAATAAGTACTGCTTCTGGAATTCTTGTACGGAAAGAGTCAAAAAGAAGCGAAAAAATAAAAGCAGCAGTTGCGCATTCTTTGTAAAAAAATGGTTTATTTTCTTCCAATTACAAATTGGCAATCAAATTGCAATACATTTAACTGAGTATATCGTGGTCGAGCTCACTTGGCATTCACTCATCATTTTTATTTGTTTCTTATGCCAATATGCAGAATGTAGCATGTTAATTTATTGGTTTTTGTAACTCATATATGAAGCCAAAGGCAATAAATTTGTTTTGTTTTAATTATTGAGTGTCAAAAATATAATAACATATCTAAATGCTCTTAATGATGTTGTTTAGTTGAAAACAAAACACTGCAGATTCCAAATTCTGAATAAATGAGGAAAATATTTATTGTCTTGTATTTGGTTGAGTAAATCGCTTTGAAGGGAAATTTGGCAATAAAAATAGAATAGATATAATAGCCAAGTGCAGGGTATACCGTAGTCGACATTATTCCCACTTGTTCTTGTTGTTGTTGTCGGCACTCGCACAAATGTCGCAGAGATTTGCACGCCGGCATTAAGCAAAGCCAATTGGTCAACCTCAGCAGCCTCATCGTTGTCCACATTGTTGTTCTTGTTGTTGTTGTGTTCTTGTCGCATTAGGGAGCTCTATGAAATGGTCATGAATAAATGGCCAGTGGTTGTTTACCCAGAATCCCCTTACCCCGATCAGGGTGAGTGTGTGTGTGTGCTCTTGGTGACTTCATAGAAAGTTATTTCCTGTGTACTACTTAGTTGTCGGCAACGTTTTCGGTAACTGAAAGCTCGCACTCTTTGGGCGTGCTCCATATCTATATAAAATATATACATATGAAATATGTATTTACCGCTTCCTTTTTAGTTGTAGTTTAAACCAATCCGATCAATCCGATTGTGCAAAGCGCATATTTCGGTGGGCATAATTAATATATTTAGGAATTAAAAAAAACCGATTATAAAATGGGCATCATTTTAAAATTAAAGTAAACCAACTAAAATAATATATATATATGTATCTATGCTATAAATAAACACTACAATTTCCGTTTATTAGAAAATATTTGATATTTTTTAGATATATAGATTGTGATTTGACGTAAATATAACTGCAATTCAAGAATTTTGGAGAAACCGATTAGAGAATGTGCATGTTTTTAAAAGTAAACTAAACCAAAAACATGATATGTATACAGTATTTAACATACTGTAATTTCGTTTAATTTTATATAACTGTTTATTATTGATATATTTTTAAGATATATTTCTTTCTGAAAATTCAGTTAATTGTCTAATATATTTTTTTGTAGATAAATTTGATATATTTTTTAGATAGACAATCTGCTTGGGATATTGTGAATTAAAAATTTTAATTTTAATTATATAAAAAAGAAATATATAAAAATAAAATACAGGTATTTCAGAATTGATATGTATCTATTAGATAGTTCAGATATATTTTTATAATGATAATCTGATTGTGTTTCACTGATATTTTCAAACGCACACTGACCACTGTGCGCGAGTCCCTTGCCCAAAGGACAAAGGACACCGAACACGGAACACAAACAAAACAGCAGCTGCAAAAAAAAACCAAAAAAATTCTTTGTTGTCATTTGTTGGAAGTTTTGTTCACACTCAATTGTTTGCCTTAAGGACATTCGCACATTTGTAAACACACACAACCGAAATACACACTCTCACACACTCACACACACACATACAGATGGCCGCAAGCGTGTGAATGTGGTTTTGTTTACGGCCGGCTTTAGCACAACATTGATTTAAATTACGTGTTTCCATTTAATTGGCGCCGAGTGTCGATGTCCATGTGGATGTGTGGGTGTCTCCACACACTCACATATGTGTGTGGGGGGGAGGGGGAACGTGGATTACATTGTGTGCCATCACCATTACGAGGCCATTTAGTAAATTAGAACAGACACTTCAATGACCAAGAATGGACGCCAATTAGGGCACCCCCCAAAAACTTAATAAACTCCCGCAACTCCAATCGCAGGCAGCTGGTACCGGCAATGAGGATCCAATTAACCCGCATGGCGCCAATCGCTCCGTTGCATACGACGGCTCCGAAGCGAAGATTATGAGCACTTTCTGCGAGGTGCACAACTGCCACCTGCGTGTCGAGGCCTGTAAGTGTATAACTTGAAGTATTGACTAATTGTCTTATAAATCATATAAATATCTCTTATTTTTTCAATTTAAATTTAATATTAAATTATATTTTTATTTTAATTTAATCTATTTTTTAATTTTTGTATTTCTTCCGTTTTGCATTTAAATACCCCAGAAAATCTTAAAAGTCTTATTTAATATTTAATTTTGTTCTTAATTTAATTTAATCTAGCTTTTACTTTTGGTATTTTTATAACGCATTTAAAGCCAGTAAATCTCACTTAAGCCATTTTCATTTCATTATTTGTTACACTCAGAAAAAATGCCTTGAATTATAGAGAATCACCAAAACTTGAGCGCCTTACTATTTACAAAGAATATTGCTAAGTCCGGGGTATATTTGTTTTTTCTAAAATGTATAAACATTTTTTCAAATTTTCAGGGTGTTTTTCATTTGTATACAACGCTTATATTAGCTTTTTTTGTTGTTTATATTTTTTTATTAATAAAACATATGTACAGATTTTGGGTTCACTCATAATAAAAAGCGCACTGAATTTGGTTTTTCATTATTTTTTTCTGAATTTCACACATTTCTAAAAGCATGAAGGCGATCTAACGCGATTTTCTAAAATCAGTGTGATTTATTTTCCGATTGCATTTTGATTTTTATCGAGGATTTATTTTGTAATACTAGTTTTTGCTTTTATGATTGCGCTATTAGTAACTCCAGTTGTAATTCATAGATGGAGCCGACAACTGGGGTGCCATCTACGAGAATGAGAGTGCTCATGGCATGCTGGGAGACATTTACAAGCAGCGTGTGGAATTGGCCATTGGCTGCATATACAATTGGTACGATGGCATCACGGAGACATCGCATACGATAGCCCGATCTGCAGTTACCATAATAGGACCGGCTCCTGCGTAGGTGATCCTTTATTACTCACAATACTGATTCTAACAATAATCTTTAATTCATAGCCCATTGCAAGCTTGGCGTACTGATCTTATGCCTTTTAATGGAGGTGCTTGGCTGCTGCTGATTTTAACGATTATCGTCTGCAGTCTAGTTTTGTCTTGGCTAAGATATTCAAGCCACTTAATTGTGCAAGGCAGGCCAAAGCTTGTCTTTGTTCAGGCAGAAAATGTGGAAAAATCTCTCATCGATATCTTTGCGCTCTTCATTCAGCAGCCATCAGCGCCCTTGACGTGAGTTGCTTATCGATAAATCATTTTGTTATAGCTTTATAGGCTAATTATAACATTTTGTACGAATGTGCATTTTTTCGACAATTCACCTAGAGGAAGTCAGCATCAGTTGCAGCTGTTAGTTGATACAAATGTTTTTTTTTTTTTTAAATTAAGTTAGAATAGGAATCAGGTGCCGTATACTTTAAAAAATAATATTTTATTTTAAATTATCATAATACTCGATTTTAAAATTTTAATTTCAGTTCTATGCCGTGGATTTGTATTTGTACTGTAGTTTTTTGAGTGAAACAAAATGATTAAAAAACATGCGTCATACTCATGAAAACTAAGATTTAGTTAATCGCCAAATTTTGACGCCAATGGTTAGTCGCCACATTATTCACAAAGTAAATTTCAAAAATTTATGTTTGTGGCTTTCTCAAAGCAAGGGTTCACATACGCGCAAACATTTAATATAGTTTATAAATTTATATAATATAATTTGAAAAAACCTTTCGCCATATTTTTGGGATTAGGAAAATTAAATTACAAATTGACATTTTTTAAGGTTTGATCGCTTTGGAACACGCTTCTTTCTGGCTACGTTGCTGTGTGCGACAATCACGCTGGAGAACATTTACAGTGGGCAACTAAAGTCTCTCCTTACTGTGCCCTTATATGATGCACCCGTGGACACCATTGAAAAGTGGGCACAGGTCAAGTGGAAGTGGGCGGCACCGTCGATAGTCTGGGTACATACGGTAGAGAAGTCCGATTTGGATGCGGAACAGATACTAGCCGATAAATTCGAGGTGCGCGACTATAACTTCCTGTACAATGCAAGCTTTCGACCAAATTATGGTCTGGCAATCGAGAGATTGGCTTCCGGCGCATTTAACTTTGGCAACTATGTGACATCGCAGGCCGTTGAGAATCGAATTGTGGGCAAGATCTTTATTGGGTGAACTGTTTGAGAATTTAATAAGTGAACTTTTGCAGGTGTTGCGCGATGATCTCTACTTTGATTGGACTCGAGCGGTTTCCATTCGAGGCTGGGCGCTGATGCCACAGCTGAACAGACACATCCGCAGCTGCCAGGAGGCAGGTCTCTATGTCCACTGGGAATTAGAGGTATCTTAGAACTCCTTATATACACATTAATATTAAATTCCAAGCTGTCTTCAATTCAGTCAGACGTCCGTTATTAATAATGATATATGTAGAGGTGATTTTAGGCAAGAAAGTCCTTTTCATACACCCTGGATAGAGTAACTACCCTTATCAGAATTGAATATCGCTTTATAAATAGAAATTTCCAATCCCAGTTCATGGCGACTAAACTATATCTATTTAGTTATCCATTTCAATCAGTCAAACTGATTTTACACTGTCTTGGAATCATTTCACCATTGAACTGCATAGAATACATATGGATAAATAATATATGGATATAAGGGGATAAGCTCGAGAAGTTATCCCAAAAAAATATAAAAAAAATGTTATTATTAATATTAATATAAAAAATGTTTTTTTTTCACTCTGCAGCATGTTGTGAAGTATCTGGATAGGAATACAGGGCAGATCCTGTTCAATCAGGCCATTGGATATGTGCCCAAGAAGGCGCCCAAGCCACTTGTTGTAGATGACATATCAGCTGCACTATTTGTACTGGCCTTTGGACTGAGCATAGCTGGATGTGCACTGCTTGTAGAGTTGCTGCAACACGGTTGCATGCAATTTGGGCGCAACTAATTTGCGGTTTGCAGCAGCTGCTTCTGCCACTGCAGCTGATCACCGATTGTTTGCTGGCTAGCGGCTCAAATGTGTGGCACAAACATTAACTCACATAGACACCAGGCAAACATTTTTGATAGGCAGCCTGCAGGTCAATTTTGGGTTGCGCATACCTCCACACAGTTGCATGCTGCAGCTAAGTGGCAAGGAGGAGGCAAGATTTGCTTATGCTGCTTTCAGAGGATATGTAAAACTGAAAATGACTTTTGCTTCGACTTGGCTGCTTGGTAATTGGAAAACCGTTTGAGGCAACGCACACACAGACACATACACACTCACACACATCAACATCGACCATTTGAAATGCTGTCGTTGCTCCTGGCAATTAGGCACGTTTTAATGATGCACTTAATTACCGCCAGGGAAATTATTCATTATCACTAATTTGTAGCGGGCTCTGATAGCACTTGCATGCCCTCTGTCTGTCTGTCGTTCTGACCGTCTGTCGTCTTGCAGTTGTGTTGGGCCAGTTGGCAGCTCCTTTCCCACTTTAAGCAATCAAAGTGAATTTCATAAATCTTCCGGCATAGGATGTCAGCGTCTCATAATTTTGCATCCTTGCTGCGCTCGTTAGCCACTCGTTTGAGCCGGGCGAGGCTATGGCAAAATGGCAAACTTGCCAATGGAAATTTGAAAATCTGCTAGACGATGTAATACCCTATATGAAATTGCTTAAGCAAGTCACTAATTGCATTAAAAGTGAATTAAAAAAAATTCTCAAATCAATATTGGAGAACCTTGCAATAGGTTAATCTACGTTCCCAATATAAACGATATGTAAAAAATATAATAGTAAAAAAAAAATTAATAACAAATAATAAAAAAAAACAATAAAAATTAAATAATAATAAAATAAATGATAATAAAATAAAGTTTTTTTTATGTTTTGGAATTTTAAATCTTGTGCTTATATAAATGTTTTTAATAAGTCTTTATTGTGCTAACTAAATTTTTAAAATACTTAAATAATAAATAAAATAGTAATCAAATAAAATAAATGATTTATTTGATGAGGATTATATTTATATTAAAAAAAATACATAAATAACTTTGGCTTTTATATAAGAAGTTTTAATGAATATTTCATAGAAAAATAAATTGATTCGTTTAAATTTGCGAGTGATGTTTGTTTTATGACTTTAGTCAGAACTTCTCTCGGTGGTAGTGTAATTTTATAGGGTATTAGAAACATAAGCTAGGTGAGAAAACCTGGCAAGCTTGGTCATTTCCCGTTTTCGACCCGAGCTTTTGCATATTTCCGTTATGTGTTTGGAATTTTTAAGTGAGTAACTCAACTGCGCTCAACTTTGCATTCAGAATTGTTGTTGCAGTTGTTGATTTTGTCGGTGTTGCTGCTGATTTGAGTCTGCTAATGCAGCTGTTTGTTTCCGTTTGTTAGCATTTACTTGTTTGTTGCTGTTTTTGTGACACGACCAAGCTTTAACAGTTGCGGCTGTTACACAACATTCTTTTTTTCTGTATGACATTTGACATTTGCTGAGAACAAGCTGCATTTTTCTTTCTAATTTTTTTTTCATTCTCTTTTTTTTTGTTGTGCAGTCAAAGTGCTCGTTGGAGAGTTAACCAAATTTGATATTCCGTATTGTGTGCTCGCAGAGGCGTGATTCTCAGATACTGACTGGGTAGAAGCCACTGAGAGAGAGAGAGAGAAAGAGAGAGATAGAGAGAGAGAGAGAGAGAAAGAGAGAGAGAGAGAGAGATAAGCGCTGCTTGCACTTAATTAAATCGCTGGCCAAGAACTTTCATGGCTCAGATTTATGAACGCCTGCCAACAGGCGATAATTGAAATGATATAAAAGGAAGCTACTCGGCTCTGCCGTTAAATGAAATAAATCTGTGCGGCAGGCAGACAGTGGCAGGTGGCCGTCGTGGCAAAGTGGCTGTGTGCCACGTGCAACTGCACCAGCCGATAAAATATGAGCTGAATCGACCCGGCCAATTGCGAGTAGATTTCCAACTGCCGCCACTTCAGGCCTTCAATTGAATTAGCCCAAACGAAATTTCTTATGAATTTTTAATGGCGCTATCTTTGAAATCGTTTCGAAGTATTTTGCTGCTGATGCTTTTATATGCGATTCGCATCGATCCAATTAGATGCTGTACATTTGTTCGCACATAATTGCTTCGCTCTCTCTAGCTCTGTTTTCAACCTGTTTTTCAGCCTGTTTCAGTGGGTTGCCAGAACAACCTTTGGTTGCTCCCACTTTGCTACTTTGCTCATTATCAGCGTCGCGACAGTTTTTTTCTTTTTCTTTTTAACACGCCTGCAAAATTTATCGCTCATAATTATTTTATTTTACAGTCTGCTGAAGTTGGCAGGCAACGACCTAAACAGGCCGACACTTCAGCGTCTTGTACTCTTGAGCTCTCATGCTCTTTAAGGCCAACTACTGAGAAAACCCAAGATAAAGAAGTTAAGCAAAGTGCTCAGCTATACTTTATAAATGAAATAATAAAATAATAATCATTGATGAGGGAATTGCCAGTCAACGAAATTGAGGGCGTTGAAAATAATTATTAATTAATTATTGTTCTAATTAAATATTTCAGCCAAATGATAAAAATCTATAATGTTTGCTTTAAAATATTTAAGGCTTAAAAATCTATTCTTTGGCTATTTTAATTTAATTTTCGGCTATTATTTGTAAGCTAAATTGTAACACCTACTTATTATGCAAAGAGCGAGTTAAGATTGTAAATGATACAAATTAAATATTTTATTAAATATTTCAGGCAATTAAAATCTATAATTTTTTTTGCCAAAAGACTTAATGCTTAAAAATCAAGAACTTAACCACTAAATATAAATGATAAATGAACAAATATATATTATAAAATATCTATAACGCAATGATCCTTCGGCTAAGTTATGAATATACATTAAATATTTGAAGCAAATAATTAAATAAATAAATAAAGATTTATTATTCCAAAAGATGAAAAGCTTAAGAGTCTCATTTTTGTTTTTTTTTTTTAGTCAAACTAAATTGTTGCACCTGCAAAAGCCAACGCTAAGAAATTATGGAAATATTATAAAATAGGGGAATTGTCCTCGATAAAGTTAAAAACGGCTTTGAATATGCATTAAATACTTCAGTCACTTCAAATCTATAAAGCTATTTTTACTTCAATATTTAAGGCTTAACAATATATTTTTTAAATTATTTTTTTGTTGTTTTTAATTTTACGCTGAATTGTTGAACGTACTTATTATGCATAGAACGAGTAACTTTTGGTTCGGGATAATGCCACTTAGAAAGTATTCCACAAATGCATTGCATTTGCCAAAGCCTCTGACACAGTTTTCAATTGTTGCCTTCTCGTCTGCTGTTGTTGGCTCCTCATCCCTGATCCACCCCTCTCCCACTCACCCACTCCTTTCCAGGCTATCCAGATATGTGTGTTAAACAACCATGCAGCAGAGCACGCGGTTCCACCAATCAACTTACACAATAACAACATGGCAGTGCAGGTGGCTTAGCTAGGGGAGGGGTCCCTCTTTACATTAGCATAATAAACGGAGTAAGATAGGGAGTGCTCGACTAACAGTATGACACTAACCGATAACCGATAACATCGGATACATTATTTTAAATTGCAATCTAGCAGAAAGAAATGTATTCATAAGCTTAAGGTAGTCCTAAAAGGCATTATCATAATAAACGAAGTAAGATGGATACGCTGTAATCGATAAGCGATAACATAAAGTATGTAAAAATGTTGGTTATGAGAGACATTATTTTGAATTTGGATATTTGGGAGATACTATTTGGTACTTAATTCTTGAAGAAAGAAATTGACTGATAAGCTTGATGTAAAATCGCTCTAAAATGAATATTGATCTGGAAACTAGAAAGTTTTGTATATTTTGATATTTCGTAAATTTGTACCTTGCAATGAATAACGAAAAAAAGGTTGTGGGACTTAAATATGCAGCTGAGCATACCCTGTTAGTCTCAAGTTCACGTACAGGGTGCGGAAAGCAACTAGCCAAGCTTTTTACAGCTTTGGCTGATTTTACAAGCATGCTACAAAAACAACAACAACAGAGTGTTGCATGTGCAACGGCAAGCGGCATTACTCGGATGAACAATTAAGTTGTATATATATATATATATATAAATATATATGTGTGTGTTAGGGCAATGTGTGTACGCGTATTTGGGTAAATTGTTTTGCACTTAGCTAAAAGTTGGTTTCAAAATAAACAGAGTGTAAAAAAAGTTTCTTGTTATCTCTCGCGTTGGCTTACTTAGTTGGGTCTCGTTTTTTATGTTTTATATTTTTGTTTTATGGAATTGTTGGCGGTGCATTAAATCGTAGGCGGAGGTCATTAATCAAAAGGTTGGTCTCAAACTGTCGTCAGCTAACAAATATTTATTGGTATGCCATAGACGATACTCTTATAATTGAGGAATTACAATTTGAAAGCCACTGTGCATGCAACTCTCTAGTTATGTAGGCTTTCAAATAGGCTCTAAGCCATCCAACTGACAACATGCAAAAAGCGTATAGAAAAAGGAAAATAGAAAATGCCGCCTTTGGCAATAAAGCGAATGTAAATGGGCTCAGCATTGACTATCGAGGCTGCTGGCAGAAGACAAATTGCTCTTGCTTGGTCTCTTATGCCTCCTATGTACACTCAGAAGGATAAGACGCACTAAATTTTAAAAATTCGCAAGGGTAAGTCACCCGTATACTTAGAAAATATATTTTTAAAAATCACAGATTTTCTTTTCTTAATTTCATGTTACATTTTTCAATTATTTAAAAAAAAAAGTTTAATTTTAAGGTGTTTCTTTAAACAATTCAAAAATTCGTTTTTTATTGCTTATATTATTAATAAACACGTAAAAGAGTCAGTAAATATAACTACTTGTTTCTGAGATTTAAATTATTTGTAAAGACAATATAACCTTTAAATTATTTTTATGAGT